AAGAGGGTAAACTAATCCCCCAACACCCATTTTGGTAAGCTTTTCAGTGCGAGAGGATAAACTAATTGCTCTCCAGTGCGAGAGGTTAAAATAATTGCTCTCCAGTGCAAGAGGGTAAAACAATTCCCCGACACCCATATGATCTACTCTGCGAGAGGTTAAACTAATTGCTCTCCAATGCGATAGGGTAAACCAATTCCCCGACACCCACATGGGTCTGCTCTCTAGTGGGAGATGTTAAACTAATTGTTTTCCAGTGCGATAGGGTAAACTAATTCCCCGACACCCATCTAGGTAAGGTCTCCAGAACGAGAGGATAAACCAATTCCTCGACACCCATCTGGGTAAGCTCTCCAGTGCGGGAAGGCCACATAACTCAAATGATAGAATACTTGAAGACTAGCTAAGCAACAAATGGTTAGGGGACATCAGCCACTTTGCACTCAACAGTTCGCTCATTCGACACTTCATCTTTAGCAACTCCGATCTTGGCAGCTTCATCTTTGATTACGCTATCTATGACAGCTGAGAAATCAAACCGTGGCCTATACCACGCCACTTCCCCGGCTTATGCCGAGCCAGTCCTTGACATCAGTCAAGCCGAGCAGCACAAGTAGTGGCCTCAACCACACCACCTCCTTGGTCCTTACCAGCCGACGTGCCGCACCACTCCGACGGCTGCCCTATGGCAACACCTCCCAAGAAGAAGAAAAGGAAAATTAAGTTTTTCTTACATCGATGTAGTGCGGAGAAGACAAAGAAATCAACGGAAAACGGCTCTTTGCACGGGCAAGCAAAGAAGAGTGCTAAGGGAGGGGGAACAAATATCCTCTAGCTTTTTCTCTTTCTTGTAAGGATAAATAATTGCCCTCTGAAGTTGATTTAATCCTCTACTTGAGGTAGGCTTAAATAGGCTTTGGATGCGATTTATTTCCTTTTCCTAGAAGAATCTAATTCCAAGTTTAAGTGGGAATCTGCATCAAAGTTGGAGATCTCTACACCTGTTGCCCTTTCTTGCCAACATCCCAACAGGTGTGGGGGCATTTGTTGAGCAAAAAATAATCAAGAAAATCACGGAGGTGACACGTGGACTTTTGGGTGAAAAAGACAAAATTACCCTTAAGGCACATCGGGATTCCCACGCGCATGCAACAGACAATAACGGCACAATCGAGGTCAAAGGTGATCAAAATGGTATTCTTTTAAACCCTCTAATCACTCCTCATCAAATCCTCACCCACAAGGTAACTCTCAATCATTATTTTCAAATTAGGATTAATTGCCAAAATAAATTGATTAATTTCCTAATTAATTGATTAATTGCCAAACTAATTGCAAGATATTATTTTACTTAATATCTTGCAATCAATCTCACAAATCAACCAAATGTGGCCAGTCCCAATTTTCCTAATAGGGCCAGCCACACCCCTATATAGAGCCACTCATTTTCTCCCAAAACATAGGTCCAATTCTCTTCTAAAAATTCTCTAAACGCTTTCTCTCAAATTCTAACTTTGGCATCAAAGACTCTTCGGCCAAAGCCCCCCTCCCAATTCATCATGAGCGCGTGAGGCTCTTGGCCTTGATCTTAGGTGTTAATTGTTTTGCAGGTACATTTTTGTCTAAGAAGAAGAAGACAAAAATTTGCATCCACAAGTATGTTATAAAAAAGAGTGCTAATTTTTACACACTCATTTTAACTTCCTTCACCCTACTTCTATTTTTATTTATTTTTAATAATTTTTTCATCATTTGAACTTTCACTTATGTCCTTGAATCCGTTTGAACATTTTTTTTTTGTCCGTTTAAACATTTGACCACCATTTTTTTAACAAACATGCTTCCAACTTTCCCCTGTTGATGTCACTTAGTACTATAGTTTAGTGACATTCCTCTTCACTTGTAAGTTAGAGGTCTTAGGTTCGATTCCCGCCAAAGGTGAATTTGAACCATATTAATGCTAGCCCATTGTGAGGCTAATCCTCATCTTCCCTAGTATAGATAATATCGTTTGTTCAAGATATGGACTTTCAATATATTGTAAATACATTATTCTAAATAATAAATATAGCACTTTTTGGGTTAGTCCAGGGTATATTGAATTAAAAAATGGTATTGGTACCAATTAATTTGGATGTTAATAAACGACTCTTCCTTGATTTTAGAGAATTTTATCCTCCAAAAGTGAAAATGACCAAAATGCCCCAGCAGAAAAAGAGTTGACTCGGTTTACCTTTGAGTTCGTGACACGTATGACCTATTATTAGTGTATTCTTTTAGTACTCGACGATATGACCACGTGAGCATAAGTAGAACAAAATTTGAAGTTTAAACAAAGATTCTACGGAACTTTAAAGTTCAAGGGCATTATTGTAATTTCACAAGAATTATGGACACTTCCATATGGTCGTTGGGTCCTAACCCCAATCCCGATCGTACCATTCTAACGTCCATTTTGGAATGAATAAGGCAATCTTGACCATACAATGACAATTTGATCTGCCAGCTCAAGATGGTTATCGAAATGGGTCCTAAGCGGACCTAATGGCTGGAGTCCTAAAGGCCCGGCCGAAATGCACACATGTAGGTTTCCCATGTCATGTTCAATCACTCTCCATTCAAATCCCATCGAATCCCAATCAGATCTCAACTGCCGATTACAACTGCTAATCCCTCAACACACCATGCCTCTGACCCCAACTGCTCTGACATTTCAGACCATTGTCAAAGGCTCCAAAGATAGGTTATGGATGCTTATAAATAGGTGCATTGACTTCTCATAACGGGTGAAACACTTCTTCCCTACTCAGAACACTCTACTTACCTTATTTCCTAAATACTGACTTGATCGTCAAAGCACCTATGCTAGAACCACCCCTAAAGCCTGGTTTTATGATCCCTTCTTTATTTATGTTATTCCAGACTCACTCCGACTACTAAACCACATGCCTTGAACTTGATCCAACAAAACCTAATGGATCGTACACTATTTAAGGTAGGGATTGAAGAATACAAACAGAGTTGAGTAAACACAATTAAATGGTTTAATTGACTATAGTGAGAATTAATTAAGACGTTAACTAATTAAACGAATAAGTTCGTATTAGACCTTGAGTTAGTTTTGGGCTTCAAGGACGAATGGGCTTCAAACCGTCAAACCCATTAACTTAGGTTGTATGACAACTTAAAATCGACAGGGCCAAAATCCCAATGACTCTATATAGGCCAGCCATAGAGAGAGGAGTGCTAGGCTTTTATTTAAATGACTGACCTAGAGGAACTATATAAAGTATGTTATCGCCTAGCCTCATTTAGGCCTTTGTTTGGAGAAATATTTCCCTCTTAGGTCACTCATCTCCTCTTCACAGCTTACCTTAGTGTAGAGAAATTAGAGGTTCCCTCTTTTGGGAACTTTGGAGATTCTATTCTACCATTCAAATCCAATGAGCTTGGGAGCAAAGTATATCATGGAATGAAGACCCTCCCTGGGGTGATTAGCCTTTGCACATGCAAAGAGGAATCTACAAAGGTATATATGAAATTTTGTCCCTTTTCTTGTAGATTTGGGTTGATTCTTGGTTCACCAAAACTAGGCTTTGAATTTCATAGGTAAAAGATCGATTTTTTTTTAGTTCATGTTAACTAATTTCCGCATTTAAGCTTGCTGTAAGATGCATGAGATACCTACAAGTTGGGATTCTAAGCTTGCTAGGACTTCAGTACTTGATGACCACGAGGCCTGACTTGTTGTGTGTTGTTAACTAGGTCTGTCAATTCATATAGCACTCTCCAAAGAATACACATTGGACAACTATGGAACGAATATTAAGAAAACTAAAGGCTACTTATTATCATGTTCTTGTAAATAAACCTGGTTTAATGTAGCTTACTGCATTTTAGATGCATACTATATAGGAGATCCAGCATGACGCATTCAACTAGATGATTTTGTGTTTATTTTGGAAAGAACCTTATGTCCTAGAGTCCCAAAAAATGTAACATAGTAGACAGATCATGTACTGTCTGATGTAAAATTTAGAGTAGCCTAAAATGAAGTGCATTGGATTAGCCACTAATTCTCCCATCTCCAAAAAAAAAAACAAAAAAATGCAGCAGCCACTTAAAATATAGAAGGAAGCGAACGCCAATCTTCTGGGCTTTTTCTCTTCCCTCCCTGCCGATTTGTTCCAAAGTTATCCGGAGAGTCCACCATTGATTAGACAATAAAGGCTGAGGAGTTGTAACTTCTGAAAATAGCATTAGAATCCCAACTTTTGTTAAAGTCCCACATCGGTGGGGTGAAAAGAAACCAAGGGGTTTAAATAGTATTACCCTACTTTAACTAATACCGAGGTCTTTTGTGGTAAAACCCCACACTTGACGGATTGGGCAGGTGGTTAAGTTGGGGACAATGTAGTGTTGTTAGAGTGGGACGGGCTTGGCGATCCAAAAATTCAACATGGTATCAGAGCCCACAGTTTGGGCCCGTGCAAGCCAATGAGCTTGTGTGCAAGCCAACAAGCTTGTCACCCATAAGGAAACAAGTTTGAACTCTTAATATAGAGACGACCGCTGAGTTCCATTGAAAACAAGTGGGTCAAACGTGAGCCGACCTTTGAGTTTCAATTACCGATGTGGATCTTCATGTGTAAACTACTAAATGGGGTTATACGTGAGGGGAAGTGTTAAAATCCCACATCGGTGGAGTGAAAAGAAACCAAGGGGTTTAAATAGTATTTCCTTACTTTAACTAATACCAAGATCTTTTCTGCCCGGTGATCCAAAAATCCAACAACTTTATCATGTATTAAACTCATCGGTTTTATTTGAGAAAATAAAACACAAGTTTGGACTCCATACTTCTTGTTGGAGGAGAATCCCGATTGAGGATCTCAGTTTTTCATTCAAGAAGGAAGCATTTAGAAGTTGATTATTACACTGTCAGAGAGAAAGTTGTTTGTGGGGAGTTATCTGTCAACTTCATTTGTCTGGAAGCAATAAGAAAAACCAACTCATTTTGTACAGCAACACCCCAATATGTATATTATCATTATTCTCAGACAAATGCAATATCTCCATTTGACAAGTCTATATGATATTCATATATGGTGAAAAAGAAAAAGAAATAACAAGAAAAGTGAAAGAATTACAAAGGCACAGTGAGGATGAGTATTCTGTTCCGAATTTTGTTACTGTTGTTGTTGCTGCTGTTGCTGAATGTTTATTAACTTGAAATATGGTCCATTTCTGTTCTCTATAAGTGTCGAGTGACCTCCTTGCTCAACAATCTTCCCGTCTTGTATAACTGAGATTTCATCTGCATTTTTTATTGTCGAAAGCCTATGTGCCACCAATACCGTTGTACGGTTCTTCATCAATCTGTCAAGAGCTTGTTGCACCACGCGCTCCGACTCCACATCTAGAGCACTGGTAGCTTCATCTAATAACAAGATTTCTGGGTTCTTTAGAACGGCACGGGCAATGGCTACCCTTTGCCTTTGACCACCAGATAGTTGCACCCCTCGCTCTCCGACTTTGGTTAAGTATCCCTCAGGAAGGGCACTGATGAAACTGTGCGCATTAGCAAGCTTAGCCGCTTCAATAACTTCTGCTTCAGAAGCTCCATCTTTTCCATAGAGGATGTTTTCATAAATTGATGTGGCAAAGAGAGCTGGTTCTTGTTGAACCAAGCCAATGTGTTTACGAAGAGACTTGATATTGAGTTTCTTGATGTCTTTCCCTGCAGTGGTCCAAGAGCGATTGATTAAGTTGTTCAAACTTTTACTGATCATGAAATTGTTTCAGAAATTTGTTTTGACGAGGCTAAAATATGTGAATCCAATGGCACTATATTGGAGGTCTTGCTTTTCGAACTTCACATAGATCAAGCAACAGTTTCCCTCGTTCCATGTTTTAGCGCAAAAGAACAAAGTTATACGCATAAGCTTACTTACCATCAATCATGACTTTCCCAGAGGTTGGATCGTAAAATCGGAGTATTAGGGAAAGCACAGAGCTTTTTCCAGATCCACTTTGCCCCACTAGTGCCATACTTTTGCCCGAGCGCACTTTCAAATTGAAGTCCTTGAAAATGGATACGTCTGGTCTTGAAGGGTAGCCGAAGTGAACACTCCTTAGCTCTATTGTACCTTCAACTTTCATAAGCTCCTCTCCTACGTCTCCCAGGACTTCGGTTCCACGATCCAATACTTCAAAGACTGATGACACCATTTGGTTCCCTTTCAAGAGGTCTGGGGCAAGTGCTAAAGTCTCACCCATAGCTAATGCCGTCACAATCAAAACCATGAAAGATTTCATGACAGATTTAAAGCTTGCGAGCTCCTTTCCCATTAAAACAGAACCATACCTGAGAGGAATGCATATATTATCAATCAAATCTAGAAGCTAATTAAGGTCACCGGAAAATTACAACCATGATTAGTTTTGTTAAGCATTACTTTTCATGTTGACACATATAACTTAAGAGGTCATCATGTCAGTCACCGGATAGAATAAAACTGTCGTTTATCCAACCTACATCGTCTATAGTAAGGAAAGAGGTAGTAATTAAACCTACATACCACAAGGCCAGGCCATAGGACGAGAATATGAAGAATTGGGATACACCGTAGAATATGCCAGCAATCTGACCGCGAGTAAATGAACGTCTAGAAGGATCCACAAGCTCACGAGCATAAAGGTCGATGATCTTCTCCTCAGAACAAAATGCAGCAACAGTGCGGATGTTACTCACAGCCTCCCCGGCTAGCATGTTAGCTTTTAGATATGCTTTGCTCAAGTTTCCACCGTAGCCTTGAAAGAAAAGTTTCTGAAAGAAAAGGTAAAAACTGTTGGCATTCTGTAAATAACAAATATTCCTTCTCTTTTAAGTATAGTACTGAAACTGAACCTCGCTTATGTGACCACTAATGATCAAGGGATATGTGGCTATGACCACGAGTGTAATTCTCCAGTTCAAGATGAAGGCGATGACGAATGAGGCAACAACCAAACCCAAATTCTGTATAAGAATTGTTGTCCGATCAACAACAATAGTTCTTAACAAAGTTGCATCACTTTCTAGACGTGATGAAAGCATAGAACTAGTGTTGTTTGTATCATCAAACCATCCGATCTCATTCCTCAATATGGCTGCAATCAAATATAAAAAATTGAAGATGAGCGATCAGTATCGTAAAATGAAGATATAATCAGCATAAACTTGATGAAGACGGTATGTGGTGTGACATACCGGAAAACATCTTTTCTCTAACACGAAGAGTGAGTCGCTCTCCCATAATCCCAAAACAAAGATGCTCTATGGCATGAACAATGACAGTTAAAAATGCAGCCCCGCAGAAGAGTAAAGAGATTTTTTTAACCTCATGTTTTGTTGTCTCCCAGTCCATGTAAAATGAAACAAGAGCCTGAGAGACCCCGAGAGCAAAAAGAGGCATCTGAGCTCCAGCAATAAGGCCACCAAAGGTGCCTATCACGCCATAATACCAGTCTGGACCAACCATGGAATACAGTCTCCCTGCTGAAACATGTTTTGACTTTACAGTCTCCATTACATCAGCACCAGTACGGCCAACAGATTCTTTATCAGAACGGAAGCTGGCTCCGAAACTTGTTGTAGTGCGGGATAATTCTCGTGAATTCCTCACACTGGAAAAGTTAAACAGATATTATTAAGACATGAATGTAATTCCCAGTTAACAAATCAAATGGATCACAGTAGTATGTTTAAAGTCTGGCAGAGAGTATGTCACTACGGAATTAATATGCAAATAGTAACTAATTGCATCCATATTCTGTATGTTTCTTAATGACTAGAGCCAAATTCACAAGCTAAACACATATTGCAAGGTTTCCGATTATCCCAACCCGTGTTTGCAAGGAGAGAATAATATTTCAAAGAAAAAAGATCTCTTTGATTATTATCCTCTACCAAACTCATTGTAATACTTTGCAGAAATTGGTCTACCTCAATTCTAATTGTTGAAGTTGATCTAGGCATCAGAATGATTCATATAAAGTTTCCAAGATGTTACAGTTTCAAACAAGTACCTTAGTGGCCTTCCCAAGTTACCAATTGAGGGGTGGCGTTGCAAAGAAGCTGTCTCTTGTAATTGAACTAGTGCTGCATAGACACCGTTTGGATTAGAAATGAGCTCCTCATGGCTCCCGGTTTCCACTATCTTACCCTCTTGAACAACAGCAATTACATCTGCATTCCTAACCGTAGAAAGACGATGGGCCACCACTACTGTTGTTCGTCCCACCATGGCACGATCAAGTGCCTCCTGCACACTCTTCTCAGACTCTGCGTCCAGTGCGCTTGTTGCTTCATCCAATAGGAGAACTGACGGATTCTTCACTATTGCACGTGCTATTGCAATCCTTTGCTTTTGTCCTCCTGAAAGTTGTATTCCTCTCTCACCAACCTGCAGGAAAAGAACATCTGAACATCAATGCATGAAAAAGGAAAAAAGAGAACATTTCTCTAAGGTAAGGACGGAGCATTCTCTTCGAAATTAGGAGTTGTGTGTAAAAGGCCATTATATATCACCTTATACTTATTTCCACAAGCTATTTGTTTCCTCGAAAAATGATAGATGCACTATATGAGACATCCTGATAATTCAAGGTCACAATGAAAAGCTAGCATATCCATACCTGAGTTTCAAATCTCTCTGGGAGATTATTTACGAAAGAGAGAGCTTCTGAAAGTTTAGCTGCACGTGTGATCTCGTCGAATGTAGCATCATATTTCCCATAGAGAATATTTTCCTTAATGCTTGTTGCAAAAAGGGCAGGCTCCTGGTTGACCAGCCCAATTTGCTGCCTAAGCCATTTGATGTCAAGCTCCTTGATATTATGTCCATCTAATAATATCTGGCCAGCAAGTGGCTCGTAGAAGCGTTCGATCAAGGATATAGCTGTACTCTTTCCCGATCCACTGCCTCCCACAAGAGCTACAATCTTTCCGGCAGGGATATCAAGATTGAGCTTGTTGAAGATGCTAACATCAGAACGAGACGGGTAACTAAAACATACGTCCTTAAATTGTATATGACCCTCAATTTTGTTCAGTTTGTGGCCATTATTGCTGCTAGATTGGCTCATCGTGTTCCTCTCTATCATTTCAAATATGGGATACGCGGCTGCCTTGGCTCGAATGAATGCAGTGATGTCTGGTGCGGCCTGTCCTAGTGACCTTCAAATTAAAAGAACAAATACTATAAATACGAACGAATGCATACAGATTGAATTAAGTATAAAACAAAGACAATGCAACACCATTTAAGATTATTGAACCACTTACAGGCCAGCAATAACAACGTTAAGCATGGTGGTGAAGGATTCGCCGCCATTGGCAATACCCTTGTGAACAACAATGCTAGTGAACCAAACAAGCAAAGACCACGAAAGGAAAAGGGAGCAGTGCATGGAGCCAAGGCCAAGACCCTTGGCCAGTCCTGCTTTCTTCCCATACTTGTACGTTTTCAAGAGTGCTGCCTTATACTCTCTTACCGCCTTGTCTTCTGCGGCAAATGCTTGCACCGTCCTCACATTTCCGATCACCTCCTCGGCAATTTCACCGGCTTTGACGTAGGATTTGCGAACCCTAGCAATGAGGCCAATTGTGACGTAGGCATAGACGCCACCAGCAAGGGCAATTAATGGAACAATGGAGAGTGTGACCAGACTGATTTGCCATACCCTAACAAACCCAATTATGAAACCTGCTAGAAACCGGCTTACGTAATGCAAGAAGTTCCCTACCTGCATCATCATCCATAATCCATCACCCATTCATCATTCATTCACAACGTGCATCTTACTCTACTCGTATTTTATATTTAGTAGCTAAAAAATTATGATACTAAGAACAAATTTGATATGTAACTCGAAATGTAAATCTGAGTTCTACTGCGTACCTCATCTCCGTTAATGTAGATAATATCGTTTGTTAAAAAAAATCACATTTACTTTAAAAAGAGGGGAAGTGCTATTACACACTCATTTTTACCTCTCACACAATCTTGTTAATTTTTTGTCATTGATCTTGTCAATTCTTTTGATTCAACGGTCGAAAATTGAGAATGGTGTGTAAAATATAAAATTTGTGTGTAGATAGCACTACCATAAAAAGAGATGCCAACCGCCTAAGTATATAAAATGTCCATTCAAAAAACATTTTACATCTTCCATTAAAAAAAAAAAAAATTGTTATTAACATTCTAAAAATCTTATTTGGCACTCCAAACTTTCTATAATTAGAAAGAAAAATATATTTGTGAAGAGTGTAGAATTAGATTTTTGGAGTACTAGTAACAGTTCATTTAATTAATAACCAATCCAATAATTAATGAAATGAACTGTTATTTATACTTCTAAAATCTCATTCTACACTCCTTACAAGTGTATTTTTCTTTCTAATTATAGAAAGTTTAGAGTGCAAAATAAATTTTTTTAAAGTGCTAATAACAATTCTTTTAATTAATTAATATGTTTTCGATGGCCTAAATACTTTTCTTCTCAACTATTTCCATTAATAAACCCATTCAACTACCTCAACCGACTTTTAAATGCCTATAGCCTTTTGCATTTACTCCTGCACCGTCTCCGACTCCCATCAAATTCCCAGACAACAACTATTTTGACCCTCATCAAATTTCACTTGTTTCATTAATTAATTAACCTTTTCTTTTTCTTTTATCTGGGGTAATAGTTATAATTATGATAACCAATTGAGTGATTAGTTTGGTAGAATCCAATTAATTACTAGAATTACTGCACGTACCTTCTCAGAAAGTGCATCTTGAACAACAATTATGTCACTTGTGATGGCAGAGATGACCTCTCCTGTGGAAGCTTCAGTGTCAAAGAGACTTATGTCTTGATTCAGCATCGCCCTCAAATATGCCATCCTCATTTTTGCCGCTTGTCTTTCCCCAGTGTGCATCCAGCAAGCCACCTCTGTATTTATTTAATTAATTCATTGGATTAGAACCCGAATATTAAAAAAATCAAAATTCAAAAAGAAAGATTAAAATTAATATAACCATATATATATATATATATATATATTTAGGCACGTACCCGTCCATGAAGAAAACAATATAGCCACACTCAGATATACAAAATCCAACGAGTACTGCAACAACAATATAAGATTAATAAGTTCCAAAATACATAAACTAATTAAGGTCGGACCAATCTGAAAATTAAAAGGCCATTTAACAATCATTTCATTTTTTTTATTTTGTTATTTTTAGTGAAAACTGAAAACTAAAACTTAAAAACTACTTTTAGTTTCCAATTTATTTTTGATAAACTAAAAATAAAAAGTCAAATTTTAAAAACTCATAAAATTAACTTTCAATTTTTTAGGTTTCCAGTTTTTAAGAAAAATAATCATACATATGTTTGGTTTCTCATAAGAATAGGGTGCAGAGTCCTTGTGGATCTAAGTTAAGTACAATAGAAACCCAAATATAGGGAATAGGATCCTCTCCGGATTCTCTTTGTGGTGACATCAATCGAATTCGTTTATCGTACATCATGCAGTTATAAATCATTTTGAATTTTAAATTTAAAATTCAATATAAATAGTACTTAACGAAAACAGATCACACGATATACGATGAACGGACACAATTGATAGATCCCCAAATTCCCACAAAGAGGATCCGAAGAGGATCCCCATCCCGAATATAGCTAGGCTCTTTGAATTAAGAAAAAAAAAAGTAGTGCTTGAATAGCCAGTGTTGTAGTTTTAGCCATTCATACTAGTGTTCAAAATATTGATATATAAATATATGAAAATATCAATATCGGTTGCCTTCAACTGTAATTTTGGAAATTTGCAATGGAGCAGGCTATCAATTCATTAAAATTTGGTCAAAATTCGAAGTCTACAATGGCTTCCGGCAAATTATTGTAGTAAATTAGTAAATGTTTTTTCAATATTCATTGATTTTCCTATATCTCGCAGATATAGGGTGAAGTTTTTATTTCACCCCCTTTCTATATGGATCCTTGATTTCTAAAATTTTTTGACACAAATATCGACACATTCGTAGATTTTAAACACTGTTCGTACCTAGTTTCTTATAATTAATTAAATCAATACTAAAATTTGCATATACATAATACAAAATAAAATAAAATAAGTAATAGTGTTAATTACCTGCAACTTATAAAATATAAGGTAATAGTGCTAATTACCTTAGCAACTTTGGAAGAAGCTTCTTTGGGAAAAAGATAAGCCATGCCAATAATATTGATCAACTTGCCAAAGAAGATAAAGAAGATAGGAACTGAAGCTCCATGAACACACGCCCCGACGGATCCGACTGCCATTAGCAAGTAGTCATATGAATCGGCGAACGAGAAGAGCTTCAACAACGAAACCTTCCGCTGCTGCTTTCCTTTACCTTCTTCTTCTTCTTTCTTTGTCTTCTTCGCATCGCTATAATTGGAACCGCTGCCGTTGCCACTACCGCCGCCAGTAAACGTGTCCGGCTGTGTCATTGTTGCAGCTGCCTTCAACTTGATCGATCGGTGTCAAAGTGTCAAGGGAGGATGATAAACAAACACAAAAAAGAAAGAAGATGGCTAGCAAGTGGGGGGTTTGGTTGTTGTGAACAATGTGTGTCTCAAATTTACAGTTATATGGATGGCTGGACCGGAGGTGTTTAATTAATGGGGTCACTCACTACTGCTCAACTATACAACAAACAAAAAATAAACTTAATTTCTATTTTTTTTTTAAAAGAAAGAAACAAAAAAGGAAGAAAAAGTTTGATGGTGTCATTAATTAAGAGAGCTATTCATAAGCAGTAGCATGGGTGGTTGACTTAGGTTATGGAAGTATCGTGTGAGTGATGCCTCAGTGACAGACTGTTGGGGTTACGCACCTTTCTTCTCTAACCATAATAACTGCGCTCTTGAGAGGCTACTTATAATTACTTATGACTGGCCATGTAAGCAATGCTAGAATCAGTCGTGCATGCAAGCGGGTTCTTGTTGTTTCTGTTTTGAGGAGTTCACATGCATGAACAGTCAGATCAACTCGAACGCAACCTCGTGTGTGACGATTGATCATCTCCCTTGGCAGAGAGAGACATGGCATGAGACTAGAGAGACTCAACCACTCCCTCTTTCCTTCTGTTTTTATCTTTCTTTTTGTGTCAAAAACCTTGATTACTATGCCTCTTAAGGGATATATTGGAGATTGCTTTCTGAGATTGTGTCGTGCATTAACTTCTCTCTCACTGAAATTTTAATGTAGATGAGGTGCCTGGAAGTGCATGTATAACATGTTAGATGGTCCAATGGTTCATGTTCTATGTAAAGGCTTCGGGGAAGTCAAGGGACCGCTTGAAGATAGCAACTTATATGAAACGAGTTTACTGCTATCGTAATGTCCTCATCTAAAAATGGATTATCATAGAAAGAAAAACTTACACATGACATGACAATGTCTTATTGGACAGAAACGTCATGAACAGTGACCCATTCCCATGTAAGTCCTTCTTGAGTGACCCATTCCCAAGATAGCACCAACTGTTGGTAATTACCAAAAACACGAAGTTTTTCGAATGGAGAAGCTAGCTAGCGAGGTGAGCAAGTGTGTATCATATATGATATACGCCGTGGACTGTGGAGTATATTGGTAAATTCTCTTCTCTCCCATACTTTTGCATTGTCACATATAATAACATCCATCTTTTCTTTTGACCCACATTGAACTGCACGTATTAAATTAAGGGGTGGCGCCAAGGTACATAATGCTTCTCTTCTTCTCAACCGCTAAAGTTGTAGTTATTGGTTGATAGGTACCACTCATGTTGATCAAATCCTAATTATAAAGTTTGTATATAATATGAGTTCTTTTTATATGGTTTATATATAAATTGTATTAGAAATTTCTTCAATACTACGTATATCATTCTTTTTTTTCCTTTTTTTAATACTACATATAACATTGAATTATACGAGAATGAGTGACTGAGATTGAAAATAAAAAATATAAACAGAAATCAAATATAACGGTTAAAACACCTATAGCATAAAATGATAGGTAACATATCTTCTCTTGTCAATTATTTCCCAGACACTTAATGTAAACCTACAATCCAAGATCAACTATCATGTTTTTTAATTAGGGAGAGGTGATAGATTTAAACTTGGATTTTATTTTAATATTAGGAAAGGAAATACTGCTTAGCCCAATGAAACTAGTTGTTACTCACAATTTATTTTTGAGTGATGAAGCTGATATAGCGGAAGTTATATATAGATAAAAGGGATAATGAATGGCCACCCTTGGATAGAATCCTAAAACACCAAAAATTTGAGAAAAGTTCTCGAGTTTTGATTAATAATATGATAAGATGATAAAATACAACCCTAAATGTGTTTAAATATTCTTAACAAACCTTAAGTCCAAATAGGAAATATATTAAACAAATAACAACACATAAAATATCCTAAAATATTAAAATCCGAATTAAACACATTAAAGGACACAATTCGCTCAAATTTCGACTGAGCTCATTGTCAAACAATCATTTTTACAAATCTTGTCGTTTTCTTCGAATCCATATATTACAGGCCTAAAACTGACACACCAAACCAAAGTAGCATTAATCCGAACAATTTAAAATGTCCAAAACATCCACTTTAGGGATATGAAGCAATCAATAACCTTTTAACCCATGAATTACCAATTCTCCAATCATTTTCTTAATTGAAAGACTCTTTCTTCTTTTAACTTTCCTGCATCTAAAATATCATAAATTCCATTCTCCATTATTTACCTACAATATTCATTAGTAAACTCATATTAAATACCAAGTTGGACATAGGTTAAGAAAAAATTACCATATTCAAGGAAAAATAGAAGTCTAATTAAATATTTTAGTATAGGCCACAAATTTTATTACAAGTGAGCCTATGACTAAATAAAAGACATGGGAAATTACCATATCGTCCAGCTTATTTGCTTGATTCCCAAGATATTCTATCTCTCTATCTTCCCCAAATATTAGATCTATGGTCCGTGTTTTTTGTTTTTTTTTCTTCGCAGTTTATTGGATTCAGATTCACATCTACTTTGCTTTTGAATTAGGAAATCATGGGAATTAGCTCTATTAATTTACAAAAGAGGAAATAAGAGAATTAGTTCCAAAGATATATCTGAATTATTTGATTTTGTGGCAACCCATCTCGTGTTCCTCGACTCCCAATAGAAAATTGAAATCGGTTCATTTGTTCTTGATGACGATGCGCAGACAAGATACGGGCATTTCACAGCTCAATAGGGTTTCGCGATGAAGAAGAGAAAAACCAAATTTTAAAACCTAGCAATCCCAATCTTTTTTTATTTTGCCTTGTAATTAACATTCTTCTTCAATCATGGGAATCACGCTAAGCAAGAACTTATTCTTCTTCAATCAATTCGCAGATAATATTTTGTTTAGGTGTAAGCTATTAAGCCTAGCTACCCTTAGATTAATCTAATAATTCAGCTGAAAGAGGTCCTCATAGGTTTTCAAAATGAGAACCTTAGGACCATGGATAAGGAATTTAAATTGATTCAATATAAAAATTGATGTATTTTTATACACTCACGTTCTGTTCGTGTGTTGATTTATTTCCTTACCTTTCCATTGTTTTTGGCATTTATCTAGTAGTAGGTTGTGATGTGGTGGCACTAGCGTATATGGGCTCATTTATAAGTGATTTTAAAATGACCAAAATCACTTTTCGTGAAAATATTTTTAGAACCAATCATTGGTGAAAACGCAAGTGAATCTTGTGGAACCCAAAAATATTTTATCTAGGAGCGTTTTTAGTCATTTTAACAGCACTTCAAAACGAGTCCTATGACGCCTATACTGTATGAAGTGAAGGCGTTGGAATAATAGCTTGATATGCTTTGTGTGTGCTTCGTAATTTTGTATCAAAATTAAGGCAACATGTTGTGAAGGCGTTTGTTAGTCACAAATTCGTCTCGGCCACGAGGCAATCGAGCGGAGGTTTTGAGATCTCGGTGATTCTGATTGGTTGTAGGTGTTCCAACTCGTGGCTTAAGGCCAAGGGAGTAAAGAGAAGTTGGAGATTTTGATTGCGCTTTGATACCACTTCTTACAATGCAATTTGTGGACCAAGGAAGCCGCCTATCTCGTTCGTAGATTCTCCATTCCTTGTGAGCGAGGACTTTGGGTGAAGCGTTATTTATAAAAGTGAGGTGGAATGAATTTAAAGGTTAATGTGGCGGTAGGGTTGGTGTGTACTTGGATGGTGGATTGCATCAATTCAAACGAACTAGTATTGGGAGTTGATTAGATCAAGGAGCCGAAACCAAAATTACAATATGATAAAATAAAATGTAACGATATAAAAGTGTGTAACTAAAATGCTGGAAATTCAAGGTGTGATAAAATAAATTGCGAGGAAGTAAATTGCGGGAAAATAAACTACGATAAGTGTGAGAAATAAAATTACTCTATGTTTGAGAAGATAAAATTAACATGATCACATCAACTCAATCGAACTAGTTGTGAGGATGGAACTGAAAACGAATATGAAATCCAAAATGCAAGAATTTAAAGTGAGAGTGCATGTGAAGAAATCAAAATCATTTTAAATTGGAAAGTTACACTTCGATTAGAAAGTGTGACAATTATGTATGATTAGTGACAATTATGTATGGTTATATCTTGAACGAGAAAATAAAGACAAATGCACACCAAGAAAAATGAGGAGAAATTGTTGTGTTGTTGCATGACCTTTTGACAATGAGCTCATCTATGAATGTATCCAATCCCATATTAATTTGACGCTGACGATTTTAAAACTTCAAACTTAATTTCCTTTTTGGTAGCGCCACTCATGCACATGTTTTGGGAACCTTGATTAACTACTCTTGGGCCACGAATAAATCTGGAGCCGTAATTAGGTGAGTTGGGTCTACTCAAGCAAACTTGTCTACTAAGAAAAGCAAGTGAGACGCAACTTGGGGAGAACAAAACAACGTTGGAAGTTTCTCTTCAAACTTGTCTACTAAGAAAAGTAAGTGAGCTCGTCCGACTTTGGCTAACAGGTTCCAACTCGGGCGACGCAACCTGGGGAGAACAAAACAACGTTGGAAGTTTCTCTTTGCCTCCTTTCTGCGTTCATGGCCAGTACTTTCTGCGATTTCACGTTAGGTCGGTTTCTCGTTTCTTTTTCAAAAATTTTGTATTAGTTGTTACTTATTCATTTAACATTATTGTTTTTTTTTAGTTATAATTTAGGTCATCATCCACATTATTTAATGTTTAAAAGTCACCACATTACTTTTAATCTAAACCCAAATTCAAATAAAATACTACTTAAATATGCTAGCATTTAAGGTAAGGTAAGTGGAATGACTTTGAAAACAGCAAAAAATCATATTTGAAGGCAGCTTCAAATTTGACATCTCTTTGTCCAAGTCAGCTTAGCCTTCTTTTCCATGTCAATTTTGATTCATACAGAGGATGTAACTCCCATGGATTCAAACAAAAGTCATGTTGAGCTTATGAGCTCAATACAGTCCAAAATGTGACCGTTAGAAGAGAGAGAGTAACCAATACAAATGCAATCTCAACCCTCCATCTTATCT